GGGTTTTAAGTAAATGCACCCTACTAGAGCAAGTACTAGAGCAAAGATAGAACAAACTGATTTCTGTATTTTTATCTGTTGTTTTGCTATAGGATGTGGAAGAACAGTAGAATCTCAATATAATTAATACTCAATGCTCATTTTCCTATCTGGTTTACTGCCAACGTATTTAAAGGTCCCGTATCCTCTTCACAATTTCTTTGTACATTTCCCCCTATTCATAAACAAACAACGTTTTAATATCATAATTTCTCATGACAAATGGTAGAATAATAATACAGTTTGCTGTACATTTGTTTATGGTGATTACGTTTAAATCAACCAGGTAAGACTATATTAAAGGTCACAGACACATTTGTGCTCCCCATACCTACAACCCGTAGGCACCGAGACAATGGTCAGCTTTAAGAACGGGAAGAATGTGGGCAGAGACTACCCAACGTCGCTATCAACTACAGCAACATGTCAGGTGTAACGACCAACAGAGCAAACTGTATGATAAGATGGTCACCGGTTACTGGTGGAAACATCGACACTACCCGGATGATCCTTACGCTCCCTATCACAAACGTACAAATATCCTGAATTTTGGCAAAAGTGCTGTACCCTCATTCCTGCATTAACTTAACTGTATATCATCATAGCTTTAGTAAGTGCTGTACATGTTAACACTAGGTATGTGATTGGGTTAAAATTGTTTTAAGGTACTTACCGTTTTTCGTCTACATCAAACATGAGAGTAATTACTTGAAATTGACATTGTCTGTACTTTGTAATACCGTCATATATGTTATAAGGTTTGTTTAGATGATGTAGTTATTATGTCGTCACTTCATTGCTTATGGAATGCAAATAAGGCCTAGCTGTTGTCTGTGAAGACATTCCTACGAGACATCTCAAACAAACCCCTTTAGCAGACCACCAACTAGACTGGTGCAGTAAAGACCTTTAGACCATCAACTAGGCTGGTGCAGTAAGGACCTTTAGTAGACCACCGACTAGTCTGGTTCAGAAAGGACCTCTAGTAGACCACCAACTAGTCTGGTGCAGTACGGACATGCAACCTAGTCAAGTTCACATTAGAATTTAAAGAAATGTACACTATACTTCATTTAAGTAATACAGTTTTTCAGCTGAACTTTTATCAAAATATCATTAGCAGTTTAAAAGTAAGGACCTAGACACAATTTCATTAGAACAACAGTATGTCCTCAATCATTTACATTTCCTTTATATCCAAGAAGCACAAATGACCACAACAGACAAAAGCATTTGTAAAAGAAATATTTTTATATTTTCCTTATTCAATACAACAATAACAAATCAATGATTAATATACACATGAAATTGACATGTAGCTGGTTTTTATGATTGGAGTAATGTTCAATTATTGAGCCGGAAGTGACGTCTGTACTGTGGCGGAAGAAGGACGCTGTCGATGATGTGGATAACTCCGTTGGTAACGGCGTCATCAGGACGGATAACCATAGCGTTATCTACCTTTACCATACCTATTTAAAAAGAAAGCAAGCAATGATATCAGAAATGCCTTACCCCTGTCTAGGACGTAATATTAGTTATAAAGATATTCAAAGAAACAAAAACAGTAAACGGTAGCGTTTTTTTCTCTTCTGAAAAATGTAATTAACGGCAACATGTTTGCCCAAATTGAGGATATATACTTAATTTTTGTGTGCTGAAAACAAACAAAGTTGATAATTGCTATTACACCTGATCACAAGCTACTGACCATTATCCAGGGAGATGGAGAGGTCCTTGCCCTCCAGAGTGGCGACCTTCTCTCCGTCAGTCAGACTTGCGCTGAAGGCTGTTCCCTTGACAACATGGTACGTCAGTACCTCTGTATATATAAGAAACACGTGTAGAGTTTAAGTGTTTAAGTGCTCTAACAATCATAAATGACTAATTATACATCAAAAGTTGCAGACCTGTAAATATCTTGTTGACAATGGGCATTAATATAGATACCGGTCATTATACTATCTTAGTTAAATAGACCTTCCTTTATTTTATCATAAGCGCAGCAAATACCAGGAGGATGTTTGAAAATGACCCAAAGTAACCTTCTCCCTTACCGGTCAAAGCGGTCTTGTTCTTCAGTAGGTTATCCAGTGTGCCGGCTGGAAGCTTGGCGAAGGCTTTGTCTGTCGGAGCAAAGAGGGTCAGACCGTCGGCTATGGACAGAAAAGAGCAAACAAAATTTAGTTACCATGGTAAACAAAAGAGTTGCCAGCTTGGATATATTTCCTCAACGTTTACTATTCAACTGTATCAGTTTAGTAAGATCCTCACATTTGGGTCATGATTTACTCGATAAGAAAAGAAAATAATTTTGACAATCATTTCTCTCTCATTCCGGGTTCAGCGTCATATGTCATATATTTTGTTAACAGTGGTTTCGTACCAAGGACAGTTTCCGTGGTTGCCCCATTTCTGGGCACTGCAGACTTATTGCCGACAGCGCATTCAGACCCACCCCTTTCATGAGTACTAAAGACTTACCACCGAGAGCGCCACCTATACCGGCGGCAGTAACGGCAGCGAGAAGGGTTTTGAGGTTACGATCGGCCTTCACCATGTCCACCATAGACTCGATCGGGATGGGAAACATTCCTCGGTCTACTACGTGGATCACACCGTTTGTGGCGTTTTGGTCAACCTTCACAATTGGCGAGCCATCGGCAGTCACCCCCTGTGGCACCGAAAGATACAGTTTAATAATAATGTTATCTTCACTTATATAAAGTCTCAAAAAGAATTCACACATATTTTGTAACTTTACTGTTTTCAGCATTTTTGCGTTAGAATACACACTTTATTCCTGTAAAGTAACCCTTGATGATACCAAAAAATTGATTTCTTAATAGATAAATTAATACTGAGGACATTGCAATTACTTTTCAAACCTTCGGACGTCTTGACCAGCAGTTACTATTGTAAAAATATTTGACATTGAACCACTATCTTCGTGACCTTTAACCATTAACAAGTTGCGTACCTTGCCGCCCTGGTAAATGTTGATCCTAATCTTGGCTGGAGTCAACAAAGAGGCAGCCTGGAGTTCGTTGGACAGCTGAGAGGAGTACACCTTTCCACTGACCACGTGATATTTTAGGACATCCTGTAGCGCTGTCTTGTTCTTCTTTAGGTAATTAATAATGACGCGTGGCAACTTGGTGAAAGCATCATCGGTGGGACCGAAGATAGTGAAGGGACCTGGAGAGAAACACCACATAATACCGTGTAGGGAAACATCATAGAAGAATAAAATATATCACAGCTTCAACAAACAATGACAAATCATAGCACAACAGCAACAAAGACAATGTATTCCATAGTGACATCGCACAAGAAAAAATAAACCACAGCGTCAATACATGGGGACAAATACATCGGCAGCACACAATGACAAAATATACAAATCGAACACATTGTCAACATAAAGTGTCAAAATATATCACAGCTCCAACACATAATAGCACAACATAAAATTATATTACAATGTCAAAACAGCTTCAACAAAACATAACACAATATACCAAAACGTCTACACACAGGGACAAAACTACCACAGCGTCACCACACGCGGTCAAAACAACCACAGCGTCACCACACACGGACGAAACTACCACAGCGTCACCAGACAAGGACGAAACTACCACAGCGTCACCACACACGGACAAAACTACCACAGCGTCACCACACAAGGACGAAACTACCACAGCGTCACCACACAAGGACGAAACTACCACAGCGTCACCACACAAGGACAAACTACCACAGCGTCGCCACACAAGGACAAAACTACCACAGTCTCGCCACACACGAACAAAACTATCACAGCGTCGCCACACACGAACAAAACTATCACAGCGTCGCCACACACGGACAAAACTACCACAGCGTCACCACACAAGGACAAAACTATCACAGCATCACCACACAAGGACAAAACTACCACAGCGTCAACACACACGGACAAAATAGTCCACAGAATTAAGACACAAAGATAAAACAAAACAGTCAACATACGAAAACAAAATGTACCATATTCTCACCATACCAGGGCAAAATACGCAACAGTGTAAACACACAAGGGCAAAATATACCACAGCGTCAGCACTTAACACACTAAGGCAAACTATACTACAACGTCGACACAATGATAAAGTCGTCCGCAGCGTAAACATACAAGGACAAAATATATCACAGCGTCACTATACAATGTTAAACTATTCTACAACGTCAACACAAAGTACAGATATAATAACGTCAACACATGATAGCAAAATTCACCACAGCGTCAATACAAACTAGTTGATTATAAAAGATTCTACAGCGACAACACACAAAGACAAATTTACCACTGTCATCACACCAGAACACAATCCACATCATTAATTTGCGAGAAAAACATTTCAAACCAACTCACACAAAGACAAAATACACCCGTCAATAAACAAAGCAAAATATATTACAGCTCAATCATAAAAGGACAAAATACATATAGTTTTATACACTACAACGTCAGTAGAAAAGGACAAATTTGGACCTCAAAAAGACACTGAAACAAGAACGATGGACCTCAAAGAGACCCTAAAAACAACAACGATTGAAACGACACTATTAGCATATTCAAACTCATCCAAAACAGTAAAACACATTTGTTTGTATGTACGGGACAGGACAACTTCAATATACATCAGATTAATGAATGTCTGTAATGCAATATTGCTACGAAAATCAGGCTTATATATGTATAAATGTAAACGTAACCTGAAATGTTGTCATAAATCAGGCTTATATATGTATAAATGTAAAGGTAACCTGAAATGGTGTCATAAATCAGGCTTATATATGTATAAATGTAAAGGTAGCCTGAAATGTTGTCATAAATCAGGCTTATATATGTATAAATGTAAAGGTAACCTGAAATGTTGTCATGAATCAGGCTTATATATGTATAAATGTAAACGTAACCTGAAATGTTGTCATAAATCAGGCTCATATATGTATAAATGTAAACGTACCCTGAAATGTTGTTATAAATCAGGCTTATATATGTATAAATGTAAACGTAACCTGAAATGTTGTCATAAATCAGGCAATGAAAGGATTTTACAAAGAAAACTTTCCACGTTCTGGATTAGGAACATGTCAAGAACGAGCTCCTCATTTTAAGCAATTGTCACAGTATAAATTTAAATGCATGTTTATAATGTGAAAAAGTTACATTAGATTAATATAATAAAGCCTGTCAATGTACACTATACCTCCGGTTGAAAGGGTTTCGGCAAGACCGGCCTCCTTGACTAGGTCTACCAGAGTCTTGGCCCCAAGCTGTTCCGCAAGCTCCACCAAATTACCCTGCTGGCAATACCCTAGAGACACGAAACAGAGGAGGGATATGACTGCAAGTACCTTCATGATGATGCCGTGTAGCTACCGGTAACTCAGGACCATCAGGTCTTATATAGGTTTGGTTGTGTAACCAGCTTATATAACGTTAGTAATTCCTGGGTTATCAGGCACGTGGGAAGGGTCTCACGAAGACGGACAAGGTCATTTCTGACAATCTTAAGCTTCACTTATTGGTTAAGTGTACATGTACTAATGATTGAGTCAAGGCTTATATAGTCATTATTAAGAATGTTGCGTGCGATGATGATTAACAGTTTAAATACATTTATATCTTGCAGTATACTTGTCAATGTACTGCATCAAGTAAAAAAAAATAGTAAAATACTTAATTATGGCAAATTCAGCTGAATTTACTGAGCAATGTTTTGACGACCTAGTTACTTGACCTGTCTCTGGCCGCGAGTTTTATCTGACCGTGCTGTTTGACCTTCGTGTATATGTAAACACGCTTATCATGTGAATTTAAGATACCGTAAAATATTCTCACTCGATTGTACCCATCTTGTTCACAGTGAGACAATATATGTTGGGATAACTGGAACAGATTAAACTTGGACATGTAGGCTCGGGGAATCAATATGATGTATTTTCGTATACGATGAAATATAAGTACATGTAATAATCGAAACGTTAAGATTTTGTAGTTTTAAAAGTTAGCTTAACTATGAGGTTAAGCTGAAGAAACTTGAAACTGCACGTGGGTTGACCACAAGTTTAAATTTTAAGTGGACAGGAATAAACAAGAGTTTGTGTCTAAATTGGCCATGTGCTTATGTGTGTATCTGCTCACGAGACACCGGCCTCAGTCATGAGATGGAGGTCACCAACACGTGCTTACTTTAATTTCGGAGACCACGAGAAGAACACGTCTAAGTGCCAAATAAAGCCCAGTGTGTTCGTGTGGCTCTGCATGTTAAAATGAATATATACTCATCTTTGTGTGCCGAAATTATCAAATACAAAGTTTGAAATGTGTAAAATATTTTCAAACGCGTGAATTGCACCATTGACATTAAGCCCCAAATTAACGAGGTCTGAAATCTAGCTTAAGAAATAATTCAAACATTTTATACCAATTTACAAAACCAATGATGAACGAGAAAAAGAACAACACTATCGTAGTATCTTGTTTAATCATCCCAAATGTTCCATGTGATAATTGGCGTGACGAAAGGAGAACATCTATCACTGTGTCCTTCTCTCACTCTTTCTCTATGTAATTGAATGATTTGGAAATACTAGTAATTTCTGGTGTAGAGTGTCTACCTACCTTACATAAAATGTTTCATAACGAGCCTTACATATCTATCGCAAACTGTTTATATTTCTATTTACTGATGATACAATTATATTATCAGAGTCAGCAGAAGAATGACAGGAAGAACCAGATACGTAAGGTCATATGAGCCGAATGACATACTGCCTTCACTCTTTATATATATATTTAACATACCTCTACTTTATTTACTCCATATAAAAGTAATTGGTTAAATCGAATACATCCCCGCTTTTGCCTGACTGTGTTTTAGTCCTGTGTGTTAGTCTGGGAACTAAAACACACCTACACTCGGGTGTTTCCACCGAGCCAATCAGACGAGAGGTGGGCGGAGCTTGTTACCGAACTCGGAAGCATTTGGTTCCATTGCCATCAAAAAGGTAGTTGGAACGTGAAGCTATACAGCTTATGGTTTATAAATACTTTCTTGTTAAAACTATCTCTCCAGTTTGTATCGTATAGAAAAACAGTTAAAGTATGGGGTTGAGGGATATAGCAAGTTTCTGGTGTCCCTTGACCATGCCAATTTCCCTCGGCTTCGCCTCGGGAAATAGACCTGGTATCGGGACACCAGAAACTTGCAATATTCCTCAACCCTATACTTTAACTGTATACTATGATCCGGTGACTCCATGTCTAAAATTGGTACATATACATGTACATGCATTGTCATATTAGGGATATGTTCATCAGAGCTCAATGATTTTTCATGATATTATAAATATTGCAGGAAACAATAAAAGAATAATCCAATAGGAATAAGTCTGATTGATCAGTTAGTGTTTAACATATAAGTTTATATAATCATAATTTCAAATATGTGTAAGAGAAATCCTAAGATTCTAAGTCTATTATCTACATATATTGTGTACGTAATTTGGCGGATTTTGGCGTTTTCGAGCTGGTAGTATTATTTAGCGTTCTAACACGATTTTTTTTCAACCAAAATTTAACTTTTTTTTCTTATTTCTTCTAACAGAATTTCAGCTCATTCATTATTTTAGTTTTTTAACATAATTTATTTTTATACAATCAATTTTTTAATGTCATATTTCATGCTACAGTTGTGGGATCGCACAACATTACACGATGTGCGGTGTGCGCACGATGTGTGCACGGTGTGCGAACGATGTGCGAACGATAAAAAATTTGGCGATCATATCTTGCGCACATTTGTGTGCACGATGGAGGAACGTTGTGCAATAACAATCGTGGTTGGTGTAAATTGAGGAATGCCTTAACAATATATACGGTTTCGTGTTTAAACATATAAACCTCGATATTTACGTATGTTTCTATATTCTACCTACACCTATAAACTTACCTTTATATCTATACTTTCTTAAATTTAGAAATTATGTTTTCGGTATTTCTTAAACGACCTTAATCGACACCTGTGAAATAACAACACAGTCCCGTATACAGGTAAACATAGCCACAAGCCGTCTGCATGTACCTGGCGGTAGTTTTTCCCCCGCCCGGGGCGCTTACGTATTTCGTCGGGTAGGGCCAGGGGTGTGAAAACACAGGTGAATAGGAGAAATAGGCAAACCGAATGCAAATAACAAATACGTCCAGCTGTGTTTTCATTACGGTCATACGGTATCGCATATCAGCTCTATGTGTCAGGTACAGGCCAGGTCAAACCCCGGTAACTCATCAAATTGTTATTTACATATTTTGTTACCTTGGCGCGAAACCCATTCTTTCACTGTAATGCTGTGTTACACGCATTGTAAAACTGTACATAATCTTCACTACTGTGATGAGAAATTACAATAATACATACTGTTTTCATTATTGCATACGAGCTTTCCGTATTTTTTTCATTCCGTAATATTGATCAACAAATTGTACCCAATCGCACAGTTGTGCGGAGTGAAGCGCACAACGGGGCGAACGATTGTTAAATCGCACAGTTGTGCGCATCATGTATGGACGATGTGCGGACGATGTGTGAACGATGTATGCACGGTGTGTGCACGCTATTTTTTGTGCGTTGTGCGGTCACATTACTAATTGTGGCGTGTTTAGCGGTATTTGGTGGCATAATTGGATGTATTTGGCTACTTACTTTAACGTAGTATTTTTTACTTTTGAATGTGTTTTTTTAGTAAGAGAAGCGAAATCATGGAAAGCACCCTTTGTGATGGACAAACTGTGCATAAATGGAAAGTGTTTTTACAGTTTAAATTTGTTAACACGTTATCGTATTTCTAATTATAGAATAGAAAAAGATTTTATAAACCACCTCCCGTAATACCAGGCCCCCGTGATACCAGGCCCGTGATAGCAGGCTTATGTCCAGTAATCAAATATTCCCGCGGTTCGCAGTAGAAGCGAGAATAATTTGTCTCGTGCGGCACGAGCAGCAGAAGGCTGTCACGTGTACTCGGGTACATGGTGGTAGATGTGTCAGCGTGGTCATTTCGAGTCGCCTACTCGGGACGTACGGTTTATACTAAATTTAAGGATGTATAGCTTTTTTCTTAGGGTGGTTTAGTAGGTCTGTTATAAAAGAGTAGACAGCGGTCCAACTATCACCTCAGAGAAATCGGACTTGCAGGGAAATAATATTTATCCCGCTTTTGGATACAGGTTTCCGGGGGATATCTCCGGTTTTTCCTGGGCGTGCAGGTTGATTTCGATGATCGAGGTATCTCTTTATTGTCGTTTTGCGCAGTCGACGTCAGACTGCGGCTTATTTTTTTTTAACTTCAGATGACGGCAAGCTGTTAACTATCGGTATATGTACGAGTAGTCCGAATTATTCTGACGTTTTATCGACTTTTTTCATATCGGCCTGTCGTCGATTAACGTCAGAACTACGGCCCTCTATATTATGCGCGAAATATGTCGACGACAGAACGAGATGAAAAAAGTCGATAAAACGTCAGAATAATTCGGACTAATGTACGAGCGTTTATTTGTATATATGTATTTCGATTGCATTTTGGTTTTTGTTCTGGATTATGTGGAAATGTTTGCGTTGTGTTGTTATAGCCAGTCGTTAAGTGGAGCGAGACCCAGTGTATAACACATTCCCATTAGCAACGAAAATACACTCCCGCTATCAAATTGTGTCGAAAGAAAAGTCTCATTGGAGGAACCCGCTGTCATGAAAATGGTTCAGTTATTTGATTAGATTTGGACATGTTTCTCTGAATCATTTAACACACTACCTTGTACTGCTCTTCGTGCACATTTTGTGAAGATACATGCAGGTAGGATTAAATGGAAGATACCTGAACAATCTTACATGTATAAATATTTACTCTGAAACTGATGCTGCCCATCCTGAGAAACACGTTGACGAACTTCGCTAATAATTTGACCAATAAACAAATCATTGCATATTTTTTTTCACGGAGTATAAGTACATGTATATAGCACTGTCATTCATTTCAGTTTCCAGCCTGCAATATCGGGCTGCTGTTTTTTCCCCAATCAGATAGAAGTACACCAGTTAATGTACTGCATGGTGGGGCCATGTGAGGTAAAATAATGTCGAAAAGGTCATTGGACGTGCTTGATGTTCAAAATACAACATCTTCACCTACCGCGTGCTAAAAACCTCCTCTTCGGAGAAATGGAGAAAAGATTGCATGGTAAAAACATAAATGCCGTGTAAGAGAATAAGTGTATGTAGTTTATGTTTATGTTGACCAATCACACGTGTGTCCACACTTGTGCGATGTCTTCATCCACTGGATCGACAAGTGTTGAGTACACAGCAGAACAGAAGGGAGCAACACTAACAGGACATTTATAAAATAATCATCGACCATTCTTATAAATGATCCTCCATCATCCAATTTTTGTCACTTATTATGTCTCCCCTTTGAATGAAGGGAGACATATATATTGTATTAGTGCTTGTTCTTCTTCTGGTTCTTCTTCTTTTCTTATTCTTCTTCTTCTAATCGCAAATTGTCCGGCCATAACTTTTAACCGTTAAAGATATCTTGATCAAACTTGAAGTATACCTGCATCACCAACAGAAGGTGTGTAGTGAACTATAATTAGGTCTCGTGCTTTACTATATACAGAGTTATGGCCCTTTGATTAATTCTAATACCGAAGTTTGTCCGGAGCATAAGTTCCATGTTATTTCACCTACGTTGACCAAATTTGCTATAGTTTTAATGTATCTTGGGAAGTATGAGTGTCGCATTCTAAATTCGGATCTCGTGCCCCACTATATAAAGAGATATGTCCCTTTGTTAATTTTTATACCGAAAGGTTAGACATATGTTTTTGTTTACAAAAACAAAATTCTAGTTCATGTTCGGAACTATACTCTGATGATCATGACGTGATGTCTATAGTATAAATAACCGAAATCAAAACATATAAGTACCACCAGTCAACGAGTGGCGTGCAATATAAGTACCACCAGTCAACGAGTGGCGTGCAATACAGTAGATTTCTCTTAATATCACTTCCCATTTGTCAGAAAAAAACATGATATTAACAGAAACATGACATAAACAGAATACCTATTTTCTGATGTTTTTCAGCCCTCAAAACCGGAAGTGAACTTAGTCAAATGCCTAATTGATGTGGCTCTAAGAAGAAGATTGATATTTTGTAACTAACCTTGTTCTTTACCCTAGTTGAAATATAGATATAAGTAAATAAGTATAGAAATAAATATATTATTTGTATTTCATTTCAGTATGCAGTTACATTTCATATAGTTAGTAGCAAAATGACGATCAGTACAATTGTAATTATGATTGTTTACTGCAGTAGTGATGTAGGCATACAAATGTTTGGCTTGCACTGCATCAATTTCAATTGTAAACATGAGACTTGGTAAATATTTACCTATATCTTGATATTATATACTGTTCTTTCGCTAGTAACATCTTTTTATGGGTTAATTTCCTTAGATATTTGCTGCAAGTGTGTAATCGAAGATAGTACACATGTTATAATTAGTTGAAAGAATACATCACACTTGGCATTAGAAAAATTTACAGATGTTTGACAAGTTTGACAAGTTTTATTTTTACACTCACGCCACACGTATACGTGCGTAACAAGAGGTCACATAATACATAGTATACATTGATGGACATAGTACTCACATAATATAATATGACACATGATACAATTCATACAATAACAACCCATTTCAATAATTCTTTTAGCTTAATTATTTTAGATATTAAGTAGCTTCATTACTCTTTGTATAAATTTACTTACTTTTGTTAAGAGTACCGTGTTACAAATTGAGAACATTCCTTTCATTTTGATATAAGTTGGGTTGACATAATAATAATTTGGTATATAAAGTTGTCTAAGAGCTACAACAGATACATTAGTACATTGGTATAAGTAGTGGTATTCGTCCCCGTGTTAGACTGTCCTATAGCTCCCCCAACCACAGGTGAATATCATGTTAACAAGTATGTAAGTCAACCTATTGTTTAACAGTCAGCCAGGTGTAACCTATTGTTTGACAGTCAGCCAGGTGTAAAAAATACCCTGTTAGGCTGAGGTATTGTTTACATAATGCGTCCAGGGTGTGACAGAAGGTCCCCAGGGCATTTATCATGAATCATTACCACCATTTACCTGTATTTTTTTTGTGACAGTGGCCAAAATAAAGTGATATTAAGAGAAATCGACATAAAATCAGGTGATAATAAAAGAATTGAATTGCATAGATTATATAGCAGGAAAAACGGTGCATCAAAAAAACATGACAATAACCGAAAAGTGACATTAACAGACGTGATATTAGGTGAAATGTACTGTATAAGTACCACCAGTCAACGAGTGGCGTGCAATAAAAGTACCACCTGTCAACGAGCGGCGTGCAATATAAGTACCACCTGTCAACGAGTGGCGTACTGTCCCTCACTGGGAAAAGAGATGACCCGGACCGGGGCTGGTGGGGACCGCACGGATTGATGACAGGAATTTGTATGTACATTGTATATACTTTCAATAATTACAACACAATACCACTTTTAACTACCTGAATACAATATACATTTTTTTTATCTAGGATATATATATATCAATAGTGTGTTTTGTATTGCCGACGATTGTGATCTTCCTAAAATATATGTAAAAATGAATTTGACTGCCCGCTAAGCACAATTATTTTGAATTGTACTGATGTTCAGGAGGGACTTACACAAACAGATGTACAAAACACTTGTGGCTACAACAGCATTTCTGGCGTAGTCTTTAAAGAGTGTGCTACATTTCCAACCGTTCATTGAACGATGGTATATTTTTAAGTGTTTTAAAAGGGCCTAATGTTATTCCCATTTTTAAATCTTGTAAACGTAATGAAGTCTCTAATTACAGACCAGTATCTTTACTACCAATTCTATCTAAAGTTTTCGAAAAACTGGTTGAGAAACTGTATGATGTAGAAGATAGCATTTTAGATTGGTTTACTACTTATCTGAAAGACAGATTCAAGCGTGTTACTGTCAATGGGGCAACATCCGGTTGGTGTGATGTAACTTCCGGTGTATCTCGAAGTTCGATACTTGGACCTAAACTTTTCCTTGTTTTTTATCAATGAACTACCATCTATTGTCAATTTACTGAAATATTTGTTATAGGGTCTTTATATATAAGTCTTTTCAGGAGTCAGTTGGAATACTGTTGAAGATATGGTCTCCTTACCAAACATCTTTAATTCAAATTTTTGAAATTTTTATGTTTTAAGGCAAACGTTAAATACAATTCCATGTCTTACGCTGACACTTGTAGGCATTCTAATCTTCCTAGTCACGAACATAGGCGGGCATTTCTAGACTGTGTATTTATTTACAAATGTGTTAATAGTGCTTTTAATTGTCAATATTTAGTCAAGCAAATGTGTTTTTAGTCCCTTGTCGTAATCTACGAATTATTCGTTTCAACCAGTTTAAATGCCAGAGAGGTAGAATAAACGTTAGAAAGTACAGTATTTTAAACAGGATTCAATGTCATTTTAACTTTCTTGATTTTGCACCAGACTGTGATATGTTTTGTTTCTCTCTCCCAGAGTTCAAAGTACGGTTAAAAAATATTTGCTATCACTAATTCCTTTTGTTTTACGTATGAGTATCTTTTAGTCTGTGTTACATGCATAACTGACTGTGATATTTTATACTTGTATTGTAATGTTGTTATCCATTCTGTTAATGGACTCTTGGGTCTGTTGAATTGGACATAAATAAATACCCGTATGAACACACAAAATGGGTCATTTCGTCTATTCGACGTTCATCGTTACAAGGTTTGTGTGGGAAATAGGGGTTAGCTGAAAAATTTATATATAGATATATCTAAAGTTAAATAGGATACAATGTAAATTTGATAAATAGATCATAGACGAATAGACTAGATATTTGTGTCTGTCACAACTCACGGGAGTTGTCAATACAAGTAAATCCAACAAATAAGTTTGAAACAGGACTAACGAGACCTACAACAACTACAAACACAAGTCTCACAATCCCCATAGGAGCCTCGTTAACCATCATCCCATAGGAGCGGCCTCGAGCTCGAGGCCTATGCTATGTATATATACAGGCACTTGAATTTAGCAAATAGAGACTAAAAAGAAATAAAAAAGTACCACGGTCCGGAGATCCGGGACTGGTTGATTCTATATTATCTATAAATATTTTTCTCTATTTACTTAATTCAAATACCTGTATATATGTTTACACTACATGCATACTTTAAAGATCCAGAGTAGGGACCTGAACATTTATAAAAGGACCAAACTGGTGTGGTTTGATGAGCATTTATTAGGCACTATGTCTATATTATAAATGTACTGCTAGTGTTGCCTCCCTTACGTTTTGTTGTTTAACGCCACAAGTGTTGTTGCATTGTAAACAATATGACAGAAGGGAGACAACTCTAACTGACTTTAGTCACAGTTTCTGACCGAGACCTTGGGGGACACACAACCGATTGGGAGGATATTGCACGTGTGTGAACGCACGCGTACTTGGGGTATGTAATCTCTACATGTTACTAACTACACTAACACGGCAATTACTTTTGTTTTAGCAGTTGATTGTCTTCCCCAGTTCACGGAGTATTTCTATGCTGTACAGAACGTCGTTATCGTGAGTTATACTAACATGTTGACATCGGTTTTGTGTGACATGGATATTGCCCTGAACACACTTTTATTATGAGAATGCGACTGGTAAGATTTGTGTATAGTCCTATATAATGACCCCATTGTATATAATGTGTAGCCCTACATGTCAGCATATACGTATTGTATGTGTGAAACAATGTGTGTACACGTACGTAGTGGAGTGAATCGGGTAGAGGTCCCCAGTACACAATACCAATAGTGTCAGTACTCGTGTCAAACACCTGGCTTAAGTGGGTTTAAAGGGAACCACATACAGACAAAATATTAATAACATTTCATATACTGACGCGTTGCTGACGAATAGCATGGATTTTATGATTCGATTAATAAGGAATGGAAACCTAACTTGGACCGCGTGGAGATGCAATGTTAACGAGTCCCTGTGATTAACTCGTGTCCTTAAATTGTTAACAGAAATGTTAACAATCTATTTGTTTTCATCTTTTCATCTCTTTGCATATACTTTTATTGTGTGAGTATTTTGAATAAATCGAGTGTTAACTTTTACCTAACCTCTAAAACGTTTGATAATACTCCTGTACGTCAGAGGATTAACTGATAGATAACGAATTTTGTAATCAGGCCCATGTACATTTTGTAGGTAAGAATCGGGCACCTATTACAACCTGCCGACTGCTTACAAGCTTTGATAAGCAGAAATCTGCAGGTAAATTTAATTGATGATAACTCCTTTAGGCCAGACAAAAATAGATACATTTCCTGTAACATGTTGGGCAAATTTGGGGTAGGGAGGTAGCTAACAAGTTTATGTGATTTATATAGGAGAATGGTCTTGACTTAAACAGTTCTTCTTTTGAAAAAAATCGCATTAAACAGTTAAGGAAAGACACAGAAAACAAGGGTCCGTAGGGTTACCGGAAACACCGAATATTTTTTGTTTGACCTTAAAGGGAACAATGTCAGAAAATCTCACGACGTCGCACCACAGTTATACCTGAGTGTTTCTCTGATATCATACAGATATGTCACAATTTGATACTGACCTACACTGTAGTTACAAACACCCGCGATATCCCAGTTTTTGCTGAACATTTCTGTATGAAGGATCGATATGTGACATGCCTTTTATGTCTAAAACGTTTCAACGGCACTGATTTTAATACCAATGTAAATCATATAGAAATAGCTACAATTGTTAATTTCAGGTGTAGAAACCATGGATATATATTTCTTCCTTTATAACCTAACTACCGATACCCCTAATACCATTAATTAATTCTAGTAGGGGCATTGAGGACTAGATAAATCAATTAATGTTTTGGGGTGAAATGCATAGTATTTTGTATTCCTTTTATTTGTAGGCTATAGAAGACGACACTCGATTGGTCGGTTGGGATGAAAGCCGTCATTTGACTGGTGTTAAAATCTGCCATTTGATTATTTTTAGCTAAGAGTTAATATTTTATTTGTTGCTGAAAGAGGTCGATAGATTTGATTGGCTCGTATTGGATTGCCAGTATGTGGACGAAAGTACTTGCTGTATTGGTGGGCTTGGTGGCGGGACTCTGGTGGTTCCAAGGTTTCGATGAAGGTAAATATATATATTTATATATAACCATTTATTCTCAATTGTAAAAGATCAAATAATTTTTGCGTACATTTGGATTTTAAAATCTTAGTGATAATGACCTGATGGAATGTATACGATATTCTCCCATCCCATTGTTTGTAAAAACAAAAAGTGAATGATAAAGACACATACTTTGGAAAATAATGCAACAAATCTACATGTATTTTAGTTTTATCGATGTGTCCTCATTAGTCGCCTCTTACGACCTTCACTTAGGACACAGCTTGACATTAGTCGCCTCTTACGATCTTTACTTAGGACACAGCTTGACATTAATCGCCTCTTACGACCTTTACTTAGGACACAGCTTGACATTAGCCGCCTCTTTCGACCTTTACTTAGGACACAGCTTGACCATAGTCGCCTCTCACGACCTTAACTTAGGACACAGCTTGACATAAGTCGCCTCTTACGACCTTTACTTAGGACACCTTGACATTAGTCGCCTCTTACGATCTTTACTTAGAACACAGCTTGACATTAGTCGCCTCTTAAGACCTTTACTTAGGACACAGCTTGACATTAGTCGCCGCTTACGACCTTTACTTAGGACACAGCTTGACATAAATCGCCTCTTACGACCTTTATTTAGGACACAGCTTGACATTAGTCGCCGCTTACGACCTTTACTTAGGACACAGCTTGACCATAGTCTCCTCTTACGACCTTAACTTAGGACACAGCTTGACATTAGTCGCCTCTTACGACCGTTACTTAGGACACAGCTTGACATAAGTCGCCTCTTACGACCTTTACTTAGGACACAGCTTAACATTAGTCGCCTCTTACGACTTTAACTTAGGACACAGCTTGACATTAGTCGCCGCTTACGACCTTTACTTAGGACACAGCTTGACACTAGTCGCATCTTACGACCTTTGCTTAGGACACAGCTTGACATTAGTCGCCCTTACGACCTTCACTTAGGACACAGCTTGACACTAGTCGCCTCTTACGACCTTTACTTAGGACACAGCTTGACATTTGTAGCCTCTTAGGACCTTTACTTAGGACACAGCTTGACTTTAGTCGCCTCTTACGACCTTCACTTAGGACACAGCTTGACATTAGTCGCCTCTTACGATCTTTACTTAGGACACAGCTTGACTTTAATCGCCTCTTACGACCTAACTTAGGACACAGCTTGACATTAGTTGCCTCTTACGACCTTTATTTAGGACACAGCTTGACATTAGTCGCCGCTTACGACCTTTACTTATGACACAGCTTGACATTAGTCGCCTCTTACGACCTTAACTTAGGACACAGCTTGACACTAGTCGCCTCTTACGACCTTTACTTAGGACACAGCTTGACATAAGTCGCCTCTTACGATTTTAACTTAGGACACAGCTTGACATTAGTCGCCTCTTACGACCTTTACTTAGGGCACAGCTTGACATTAGTCGCCTCTTACGACCTTTACTTAGGGCGCAACTTGACCTTAGTCGCCGCTTACGACCTTAACTTAGGACACAGCTTGACATAAGTTGCCTCTTAGGACCTTTACTTAGGACACAGCTTGACATTAATCTCCTCTTACGACCTTAACCTAGGACACAGCTTGACATTAGTCGCATCTACGACCTTTACTTAGGACACAGCTTGACATAAGTCGCCTCTTACGATCTTTACTTAGGACACAGCTTGACATTAGTCTCCTCTTACGACCTTTACTTAGGACACATCTTGACATTAGTCGCCTCTTACGACCTTTACTTAGGACACCTTGACATTAGTCGCCTCTTACGATCTTTACTTAGGAAACAGCTTGACATTAGTCGCCTCTTACGACCTTAACTTAGGACACAGCTTGACATTAGTCGCCTCTTACGATCTTTACTTAGGAAACAGCTTGACATTAGTCGCCTCTTACGACCTTAACTTAGGACACAGCTTGACATTAGTTGCCTCTTACGACCTTTATTTATAACACAGCTTGACATTAGTCGCCGCTTACGACCTTTACTTATGACACAGCTTGACAAAAGTCGCCTCTTACGACCTTTACTTAGGACACAGCTTGACATTAGTCTCCTTCTACGACCTTAACCTAGGACACAGCTTGACATTAGTCGCCTCTTACGACCTTTACTTAGGACACAGCTTGACATAAGTCGCCTCTTAGGACCTTTACTTAGGACACAGCTTGACATTAGTCGCCTCTTACGACCTTTACTTAGGACACAGCTTGACATTAGTAGCCTATTACGACCTTTACTTAGGACACAGCTTGACATTAGTCGCCTCACACGACCTTCACTTAGGACACAGCTTGACACTAGTCGCCTCTTACGACCTTTACTTAGGACAAAGCTTGACTTTAGTCGCCTCTTACGACCTTTACTTACGGCTCAGCTTGACATTAGTCGCCTCTTACGATCTTTACTTAGGACACAGCTTGGCATTATTCGCCTCTTACGACCTTTACCTGGGATACAGCTTGACATTAGTCGCCTCTTACGACCTTTACTTAGGACACAGCTTGACATTAGTTGCCGCTTACGACCTTTACTTAGGACACAGCTTGACTTTAGTCGCCTCTTCCGACCTTTACTTAGGACACAGCTTGACCATAGTCTCCTCTTACGACCTTTACGTAGGACACAGCTTGACATTAGTCGCCGCTTACGACCTTTACTTAGGACACAGCTTGACATGTACTTGTCTGTCCCGACTTTTTATTCACGTTTATGATGTTTATGATAACGTTAATCAAGAAAATGTTAATTACGATACTGTTTACCGCGATACTGTTTACCGCGATACTGTTCATCTCGATACTGTTCATCACGATACTGTTCATCGCGATACTGTTCATCGCGATCCTGTACATCCTGTTCATGGAGGTTCATTTCATCACGATACTGTGTATCACGATACTGTTCTTCACGATACTGTTTACCGCGATACTGTTTACCACGATACTGTTTACCGCGATACTGTTCATCGCGATACTGTTTCATAGAGGTTCTGTTCATTACGATACTGTTCATAATGGTTCTGTTCTTCACGAAACTGTTCATCACGATTCTGTTCATCGCGATTCTGTACATCTCGATACTAATCATCACGATACTGTTCATCACGATACTGTTCATCGCGATCCTGTACATCTCGATACTGTTCTTCACGATACTGTTCATCACGATACTGTTCATAATGGTTCTGTTCATCACGAAACTGTTCATCACGATTCTGTTCATCGCGATTCTGTACATCTCGATACTGTTCATCACGATACTGTTCATCACGATACTGTTCATAGTGATCCTGTACATCTCGATACTGTTCTTCACGATACTGTTCATCACGATACTGTTCATAATGGTTCTGTTCATCACGATACTTTTCATCACGATACTGTTTATCACGATACTGTTCATCACGATACTGTTCATAATAGTTCTGTTCAACACGATACTGTTCATCACGATACTGTTCATAATGGTTCTGTTCATCACGATACTGTACTGTTCATATTGGTTCTGTTCATCACGATACTGTTCATCACGATACTGTTCATCGCGATCCTGTACATCTCGATACTGTTCATCACGATACTGTTCATAATGGTTTTGTTCATCACGATACTGTTCATAATGGTTCTTTTCATCACGATACTGTTTATTAAAGTTCTGTTCATCACAAAAACGTTCATTACGATTTTGTTTATCACGACACTATTCATCACGATACTGTACATGTCGATTCTGTTAAATACGGTTCTGTTCATTAAAAAACACTTCATTACGGTTCTGTTCATAACGATAATGATTCATCTCGATACTGTTCATCGTGATTCTGTTCATCTCGATACTATTCTTCATGGTTCTGCTTTATCACGGTATGGTCAATCACTTTTTGTTTTTCTAGATATATATATGACTTCTTAATTTTGCGATCGTTACATGTATAATAAGTACTCACTTACAAGGATAACTGACAATTGCAAATCGTTAAGTCCGTAAACCATATCATCGTAGGTTATGATTGTTGTAGGGGTCATCCGAGGTCAGCGCGTGCTGGTGACGGGAGCCTCGACGGGAATAGGTGAGCAGCTGGCCTATCATTATGCACGCATGGGCGCTAGTGTTATGGTAACGGCGCGACGGACAAAGAGGCTGCAAGAGGTAAATAGAAAACTGCCCTCAATAAATATGAATTGAATGACATTGTCCAGTGTTTAAAGCGTTTTATTTGAGATGGCTTTAATACACATGCGTTTATTCTTTTAAAGTGTCATTTCTGGTTTGTAAAAAACGTATACTTTGTTTTGATGTCGTTAGGTCGTGGCAAGATGTCGAGAGCTTGGAAGCCCGAACGCCACATTCGGCTACGTCGTTGGTGACATGTCCAATCTGTCTTTCACGAAGGATCTGATCAGGGTAAGGGAACTGCTAGTGAAGTTTAAGAGTTCGGTTCGGTAATACTTACTATGGTAGTCCAGTGGTAGGGAGCCGGGCTCGTGACCGAAGGGTTGCGGGTTCGCGCCACGGCGCGGCGATTTGTTGTATCTTTGAGCAAGATACTTTATTTCTCTTGTTCCAGTCTACTCAGCCGTAAATAGGTACGTGGTTGGGCAGTACTAGAATTGTTGAATATGCTCCCCAGGGAGTTGAGAGAGGTATTGGCTGGTTGCAAAGGCCCTATAACCACAGATACTATTTTGTGAACTGCTTTGAGATGACCTACGAACTAGGTTGTGATAAAGCAGTATATAAGAACCTCGAATTATTATTATTATTATTATTATTATCGATATTAGAGTTATAATCACATTGCCACGTCACACTCACGCCGGAAAAGATGCGGTTACAAGTGAAGTAAAAGAATCATAAATATATTAAATATATGGGTATGAAAAGATATAAAATCTCAATGAATTATATTTATGTCTAGTATAAGCATACAAAACCTTTTCCCGACTGCTACCTATCTCATCAGACGCTCTACGTGATACGAGATGACACGGGAGTACAATCCCACGAATGTTAACTACATGTGTTTGACTGGGTCAGCGGCAATGCTTACACAATAAACGTGCTTTCACATTAATTGATAAAGATGTGTTCATCACTTTGTTTGCTAAATCAACTAAATTTATTGTAATAGCAGAGTGTTTTATCAACGGAAAGTTTCCAATCTTTGCTATGGACAAAAAAAAGAAATTCCACTTTTTTCCTGCTAGTAAAACAAGCAAAAGTTATCAGCACTGTGCTGTTATTTAAAGAAAAGCTCTGATTACTTATATAAACTGAGATCACCTGGCGCAGTGGATAACGCGCTGGGCTATTAGCTGGAAGGCGACTGTAGCTTTTTGGTTAGCTGTTCGAAATCAAATGTCTTTGCAAGGCGGAAAACAATTCTTCCTTATTGCCGATTGTAGTGCTCGGGACTGAGTAAATGATATACATGAAGTACCCTAAAAGCTGAGTAAATTGCTAATATGACTCTTCCATGTATACTTATTTTCGTCACGTTTGTTAGTTTGTTATTTTTAGCATGCATTAAATTGGTACTTTCTGTTATTTCACACCAGATCGCCCATTATCTGTGTGAACAAGTTTTATCAAATGTTTGCAAGCCTTTAATATGATGTAAAAGAAAAGAAAATATGTTACGGATTGACACACTTGTTTACGAACCTTGGAGAACCGAGCTCGTGACGGACACCCCTCAAAATGGGATTCCTGGTTAACGACTGTCGACCCAGTTCGGTCCTGCTACAGAAGTAACGTGGTTGGTTGATAACGGATTATTATTTTCAAACGAAGTTTGAGTAGAAAGATACAAATAATTTAAGGTTAAAAAAATAATAAAACGAATTTAAATTCAGCGATAGAGATAGCAAATGTCCATTGCTGTTAAAAACACGTATTTATAAAACTGCATACTCATCACTTTAAATCAGCAAAACGACTTATTTAAAAATCCTGATATATCTTAAATCAGCAAAGGAGTTTCTATGTATGTAAACATGTAAGCACTGTTCCAATATTCAGAGCGAAACGGTTTCACAACTTTGGTTTAGAGCTGCCGAACGATAGACAAGACGTCGCACACTTGTTAGCACACACAAAGAGATCATTATATAGAGGATGAAGTAAACAACTTCAAACAGGGAATCAGGTTTACAAATATTTAGTTTTGCTTGAGTTAAAATGCTTGATTTTATCTTGGGAACAAACGAAATTGCTTCGCAGCTGAAGAGTTTTTTAGAAACAACTACATTTTTTTCTTTTCTAATTGTGTAATATATAAACCTTTATAAATGTCACATGACGAGAGATTTTGTCATATTTTGATATTGTTATTGTTGATGTTTATCTTGGTGAATTAGGCGATGTATTAAAACAAAAGTATAATAGATCATTTGGCTAAACAGCTTTGGAATTAAACCCAAGTCTGCTGGTTTGAATTTTGGTCCGACAAGTTATTGCATACATGTACCTGAAACATATAATATATTTACTGTACAAAGTATACATTTTTTGCATTTTGAAATATAAATTAATGTGTCAGTTTACTTGCCAAATGTCAGTGTGCAGACAACGACGGGATATTGAACGTAATTTCGAACAAAATTTAAGAAAAAATCAAAAGGTTTCAAGGTGATTTTTGTTTCAGATTCATAAAATTTAGGCCTAAGAACAACATCAAACTTGATCCAAAATGTATAAAAACAATTAATAAAATGAAATCTGTTGTTTGATTGATGAACACGTATTTACGTGATTAATATCATTAAAGTATATTCCTAGTCTAATTTGTGATTCAACATGCGTTTTATTAAAATATCCTTTAGAGGTATACTATGCGTCAATAAACAGAAGTGCGAGTTTTTTGGGTAATTTTCATTTGTCGGTTTTTTCACGAGGATTTGTCGATTTACAAATACATAGTTCAGACAGTAAGTGTGATGTCATAATAGACTGATGGATGAACTGGCGCTTAATGGAGTGATGCACAAAATGTGTTTATGTAGCAATTGCGCTGCCTGCACACATGACTGCAGCACAAAATATAAAAAAACAGCTGAACTGAAACGGGAGGGCTGTATATAGCCTGCGGCAGAGCGATGTTCTGAAATCTTGTTGGCGAGTTTGTCATATCTATCAACAGCCTTTCTAAACATGATGCTTGGGGCAGTTCTCCTTGTTTGCCTATGTTTCCTGGCTGTTTCGGACTCTAAACCGGCCAGGGCAGTTCCATTCAAGGTGCGTTCAATTTCGAGTGTATATAATGTATATTTACATGTTGCGAGGGAATAAAGATAATTCTACTTTCTACATGCCGTTTATTTCTTGAATACTTCCTGCGGGTTTTTATGTTTATCGAGTAGTCAAAATAGCATGCAAACTTTAGATTCTTTTGTAATTATAAAACAGTGATAAATGTTTACACACAATGAAACACCGGTTCGCCATGCCCAGGATATCAAGTAACTTTTGTTTAGTAAGGTGATACTTGGTGATATAGCATTGTAAGCTTCTTTGTTTCGTTTTCATTTTCTTCATCCCTTTTATTTTTCTCCAAGACCGATGCTGTTAAATCGACTTACTATTCACCTGACGACGGACTAATGAAGATTATCAGTCTTGGGAACGGAAGAACAAAACGTGCAGTAGACAACAAAATTACAGATCTCGACGAAATACAAATACTCAAAAGGCTCCATGAACTGAGGGAGCTAACCAAAAGTAAGAGTTATGTTTGTTTGTTTTCTGACCAGCTAAATCAGCATTGTTATCACTTTCTCCACGGCCCATCATCACTAAAGATGTCTTTAGGGCCAATACAAACTAAGAAATAAAAAAATATGAGAAAAAGAGCAACTGTCTCATTGAATATTTAAAGTGACTATTGTAATTTTTATCTTTTGAAACAATTTCAAGGTAGTCTAGAGTAATGCCACAAACTAAATAGGATTTGCATACTTTCATGAAAGGTCTTAAATATGGGTTTTCTTTCGTGTTTTATTTATTTTCCTCAGATGTATTATTATCTACAACAATTTAAATCCATCATGTTCAGAAATGTGGAAGTTATAAAGCATTTCAAAGTTGTTTTCTCCGTCAAACCAGGTCCTATGCCCAGTTATCAAATGTAACATTACCGTAACATTGCAAATATGTATAAAATGGAGTTAGAGATCAGTATGTTGTCAAGAATAAAACATCATCCTCGTTCTCATTTTATGTAGATTTATGTACTCTCAAACTTTCCGTTTCATTCTGCTGCCGCTGTAGAGTAGAACGAGTACGTAGTTCGTTGTTAGTCTGGCCCATGAACTATTGCATGTTTCATGTTTACTCCACATTGGTAATACCTGCAACACTACTATTGTATTACTGGCCTTTCTTAGCGTCATCGCCTTCTGACATACTAAATGATGAACTATGTAACAGTTGTTTAAAATTTGACGTTTTATTAGCGATTCTAATCTCGTATGTCTCTTGTAATATCGTACCAACAGATCTGGGGAGGGGGCAATATGTTATCAACATTACCGAAAATACCCTTTCCAGATGTATAGCCCTATTTCTGCTAGTAGGACGCCAATGATTGACACTGTTGCTACATGAAGCATTGTTTAAGACAACAATGACACAATGTTGTAAGCGGTGGTACCAAACACCTTTTCAATTCACGAACATTTCTGAATTATTTTCAGATTGTTGATCGAAACACATTAACAAGTTATTGTATCTTTTGACAAAACATGTCCTCGCAAACCGGACCCTTTGAAATTTCATCTCCATTAGCAATCTATTGATTCAGTCAATTTTATAAAAATAAATAATTCGCGTAAGCTTGTGATCTTATCTATATCGTACATGGTCTTATATGGGGTATTTTTCAGGAAGACGTAGGCGTCACCGTTGTCGGACATCATCGTGCAAATCTGACAATGCTGTTTAGTTATGATCACTGTCAGTAGCAGCCAGTACACTGCCGCCTGATTTATCAGAGTTTTGAGAAAATCTCGAATCTTGATGCTAGACTGTTGTTGGAAGACGGATGGTATCGCCTTTATCTGAAGGAATGCAAAATTCACCGAAAATATATAAGCAACTAAAAAAGAAACACAATTTTAATTACAATTGTTGAAATATCTATGTAAGATCAAATGTTAAAGAATATATACAAAAAGATATATACTTTCTTATCTGAACTGTCGTTATTACGTTTTTACCCATATGTATATATAAACATGTAAGAGGCGACTAAGTGGAACCCCCTACTGTGACTTAGATCCATCGCAGTATTGAGAGGCGACTAATGATACATTCCGTAGCAGATTGGAGATTTTTCACATTTACCGGGCCAGATTTCCAAATGCACATGTTCTACGTTTTTGATATCTCTCGTTGACTCACTTTATATGACGGTGCATCTTGCGCAAGAATAGGTCCTCTACATCAGCGTTCCTTCGCCGCGATGCTCTCAGCGTAATTGCTGCCTTCGGCTGTCTTTAGCCGAGGGGACTATTGGTTTTATATAAAAGCTATATTTTCAATTATAGTATATCAATTCTATCTTCTTGTAATATGATGTATATATACATGTAACTGTTCTGTTTCACTGTGTCTTGAAAAAGGAGCGGATTGCTCCGAAAATTTGACAACCTAAACTTGTCCACACTGTTGGAATTACTTCTTTGCCCCATAAACATGTAATATATAATAAAGAAATATGTTTATGCTTTCAGCGTTTCTAATTGTTCTCTGTTATTAACCTACCGTGGTGTACAAATGAATAATGTATCAATACAAATGATACATTGTTACAATAAAAATACAAGTGTTTCTGCACAGGATGATATGTAAGCCTTTTTTCAGAATAAGTTTTTATTATGTTTAAATTGATGAAATAGTTTAAAAGAAGATTATCAAGCAATAAATAAAGGAATAGAGTTTGAACAGTGCCGCTCGAGATGTGGGAAATGTGTCACAGTAAGACATGCAATTATTATAACAATTGCAGTCACGGTACGGAACAACAATGGTCGTCGTTTCTAATGCAAAACACAAACCTCCTGGAATATACGACGGTGAAAAGTATACTTAGGATGAAATTAACTAATCAAGGTTTATATTAATCATTAAATACTGGGTTTTTTTTTTCTATGACACCTGTCAACGTTTAAAATACTAGAAAGTTCCTATAGTGACATTCAGTATACCCCATTCGTATGAAAGGGTGATGTTTAAGTGATTAATCATAGAGCTATGCGTACTTTACAAACATATGCAAATTTTGTTTCATTTCAAAAAGCTCGTTTTGTGGTAAGTGCATTATCTGTGCACTGTAAGACAACCTCAATTGGGTATTTAAAAGATTTATCGGCTCGTTAACTTTAACATATGACAATTGTGAGTATGTGGTTTATTTACACAAATATGGTAATGCTGTGCATTGGTGAACGTTAATGATGCTTATCGTTATAGTTACATGTAGGTAATATATAATAGTGTATATAGTACGCATTGGTGCAGAAGGCATGGATACGGAGTTGTAAAACGTAATTTAGCTTTCGACAATTTCGAAAAACGACATTCACTTTCCAATCGATGATGGGAGATCGCCCGATTCTACGTGTTTCTGGTCAATTGTTGTACCAGTATGTAGACCAAGAGTTGATGAAGGGGGAGTTATTGTAAGGTCCTTACATTTGAGCTGTCGTAGCGTTTGCTTGTAGTTAATAAATCAGAAAAGAATGCAGGTTAAGAAGTTTGTATTTGAAGTACGGTTGTATGTAAGCGTTAACAGACTTGTTTGCTAAATTTTCAAATGTAGCTTTGCATTTGTCTGGACTGTTGCAATATCGATGTCTATGGCTGAAAATATGTTTTCAGAGTGTGTACAAAGATATGTTATTTGTATGAGTGTATCCTACTTTTGCCGAACTTCCTAAATAAATCTGAACAGTCGTTACGATATATAGCAAGCAGTTCAAAGAAGTCTAAGACAGCGTCCATCTTGTTACCTATGGTATTAGTTTTAGAGTTATTTGCAGGGTAATAAATCTTTTGAATACATACGGCCAAAGATAGGATAGAAAGATCGGATGAGGGGGCTGCAAGGGTGATATAAACACTGTTTCCTTTCGCTACCGAACGGTAAATGTTCATTTGTTGTTGTGATTGTCTTTTCGTTTCACCAACATTTATCAAACCACAGCGAGCATATTTTATATAATACATCTTTTGGACTCCGGCAACCAGCAACAAATCGCCCTTCGTTTGTGGTCCGGCGACTGTTAGTTCGCCTGTTTTCTAACCATGTTTGTAACCAGTATTCTCAGTAATTATAAAAGGAATCATGATCAAAAAAAATTAGTGAACATGATCCCTTTAGACAGGCACCCATCTTTATTAATGATGTTGTATAAGGATCTAATAAGGTATCCTCATCGAATATAGTTGTATAATTCCTAATTACTATTTGAGCCGGCCACCCGATTTGCCAGCTCGGAAAAACAAATTTGATTTTTCTCATGTATTCCGTTTTGCCTGCACCCTAGGAGTCCACAGAGAGGATGGGAGGCCTAGACTATCTAGTGTTGAACCATATCCTGACCCAAGATCTCCATTTCTGGAGCGGTAACGACGAAGATATGGCTTACTTAGACAAGGTGTTTGAGGTGAACTTCAAGGCTTACGTACATCTGGCATCGCACGCTCTTCCCGAATTGGAGAAGTCTGGCGGTCATGTAGTTGTTCTGTCATCATTCGCAGGTACGTTCGTCGATGTAGTAGTAACACCAGAACCACCCATCGTGGTTGATTGTGTAACAGGCACTAACCTCGTCTGGTTATTAACCTGTATTACATGTATGATCAAAGTTTCTTTACCTCATTGCTCCAGGTAAATGGCCCTGCTAAGGAAAACATGTAATTTCGTCATAACTATTTATATATCTATGGAGGTTCTGGATTGACAGGACAATATTTGTTATCTCTACTATAAAGCATGCTGCATTACCTTTGGTAGATTTCATGAAACAGTAAGGTTTCATCAGTGAGTCGGATACTGTACTGTCCCAGATTGGACACGGTAAATCGCTAGTGGGTAGCTCCAAACACGCAGCGTGTATGCTATTCATCGAACCATAGGTATCAAACTCATTTAAATATGATTGTTCATACCCTAGAAATATCCGTTCGGACATCCAGCCTAGTTTTCAAGCAAGCCATGTTGACAATAGCTAATCGTAATGATATAAGCCATTTTGAAGGTGCATCAACAGACGAGACGAGACCAGTGCCTGTGATCGCAACGTGTTTATACAAGGGCAACTCATGCAGATATTCGATCATAAATACTGCATATATAAATTACGATGTAGTCTTTCTTAGATTTATTGTTTTCCGACAAAACTGTATTTTTTTATTTGAATTTCCTCACAGGTAAATCGGCCCCGCCATTCTCTGTCTCTTACGCCGCTACTAAGTACGCACTGGGCGGGTTTTTTAGTGGACTTAGGCAGGAACTAAGGATGAAAGACAGCAACGTTTCGATCACAATGTGTATCGTGGGATTCATAGGTAACATTTGTCACTCCTTAACTTACCTCATACGTAGTGACATATCTTATAAACGCCTGTAATGTCCGTTTTCATTTTATCGTTTGTTCGTTACACTTTCCGACACTTACCTATCTATTAGAGAAAACTAGAAAACTTAATTCAATATTATCCTTCTGTTATGATTCCAGCTACAGAAAATGCGTTGTCGTCAATGGCTGTTGTTCGCGATGGAGTGCCGCTACAGCGCTTGATCGGATCGGCGGCAAGTCCTTCCGACACCGCCCTCGATATCATCAGAGGAGCTGCCAACCGCCAGAGGGAGCTCTACACACCGTTTCTTAAAACATACACAACATTATTCATCAATAGCTTATTTCCGAGCGCTATAGACTACCTAATCAGAGCTATTTATGCACAATAACTTTATAACTGGTCGGAATCGACTACTTTATCTGAATTTTATGTCCATATCATTATAAACCATATACACATATATTTTGATGTCATCTGGATGTAGTTACTATACACGGTAGAAATGGGCATAATGGTAGCTTCTTACATGTGATTCTATATTATCTTCGCTCACTGTAATCGTCAGTTTCCAATGACGTTATAGATATTTGTGTGACAGTGTTCAACATGGATAATTTGTTCTGCAATATATCACGTGTATAATCTGATCATGGCACACTCTCCATTTAAGTCGTTATATATCTTATAGTACCACGTGATAGACAGGTTTGATGAACACGTATGTAGTAACAAATTCTAGAAAACTTTGTGGATTATGTACAGACGTAAGATTTCCACTTGCATTTTATCATATTTTGTCTACTTTGCTTTCATTCTCTCATTTACCGGTGTGTAAGATAGAACTGTCGAGGGTAAGAAAGGGGTGTAGGAAATTTCTATCTTACACCCCAATTCACGTGACGTGACGTCACAATGGTGCATTAATGACGTGACGTCACGAATATGGAACTCTCCGATGCCGCAATGCAGAAAAGGCGACGTGATGAAATTAAAGCATTTTACGATATATTTACCGTACACGTACGAAAGATATGATTACTTTTTCTGTGCAAACTTTTTTGCAAATATAGGATTTGCTAAATCTCGCTGACTTATAATAATACCTGCAACTGTGCGAGATCGGGTTTTCTCAGTCCAGGGCTGATATTCTGTAACATAATCCCGACCGAGGCGTAAGTGGATATCTCTATACGACATGCGAGAAATATTTGTATACGGTCATGAAGATAATATTTAACAACAATATTTTTTCTTGTAGCCAAAATGATTCATATCTCCGTGGTCGTCTTTTTTACTGATTCATTACGAACGCCTTCTGTACCACGAAGAGAGGTAGACAACTCCCGTGTTTATACACACGTGTGTTGGTCGAGAATATTTCCACTCCTGGCCATCAGGTTTTTTTTCATATTTTTTATCGGATATTGCAATCTGACTGATTTGGTTTTAGATTGATTTCGCCCAATCCATCAGCTTACACTTAAGTGCACACAGATGATATGTTCGTATTTTAAAATCATGACATTTTGTTTTATCATCGCTTCTCCTTTGTCATATAAAATCGTAATTAAAAGGTGATTACTTTGTATATTTGTGAATATTTTATCATCTTTGCACCGTTACTTCAGCATGTTAAGGTTTACGGATTATTTTGTGCAGTGTCCTATTAACATTTAAGGACCCCATTAAAATTACGAAGTGCGTATTCCTGTTTCCTGATAAAACATTTTCAGAACCGATTTGGAGGACACTGCACGTGTTCGAACGCTTGTGCATTTTTTCCCGACTGCTATTTATCTCATCAGGCGCATGGTTGATGCCATACTTACGTGATCATTATGCATTATTGAATTTACGAGATGACATTGAAGTAAAATCAAACAAATGGCAACTTTATGTAGTCGACTGGGTCAGAGGCAATGCTTACAAATCACCTGAATTGATAACGATCTGTTACGTCACTTGGTTTGCTAAACAACTTAATAATTCACATATAAAGTAGTAGTATTAACTAAATTGATAGAAATGGCAGACTTTGATTTTTAACGGAAAGTTTAAAAAAAAAAACATTTTGCTATGTAAGAAAAATAAGAAATAGCAGAAATATCCTTCTGATAATAAAAAGTTATCAACACTATTGTTATTTAAGGTAATAGGATTGTGTCTCCATTTCTCAGTATAATTTCTTCAAATTTTGTAGTTATATTGCTTTGAAGAAAAGACAATTTTCTGCCACAAAAGAAATATAGGTTGTCAGAATTTTAAGGATTTTAGATTGAAATTTATGTAAAAAGGAGTGAATATTGCAAAAAAATGAAAAACACAATTTTCAATACAAATTATACTGCATAGATTAGAATTACATTAAAGTATATCAATTTAATAAATGCTGAAATTGTGTAAAATTAATTATCAATACACGATTAAAAATTAACATTTTAAAATAAAACCATATACACATGGTAATTGCATGTAAGAGTTATCTTTCTTGAAAAACTTCACAGTAATGAAATAGGTAGCCGGTTTCCTGAAGTACAGAAAAATAGACACATGTGACTCATTGATAAAAAAAAAACTTGAGTTAATGCCTGGATTGCTTTGAAATACTTTAATATTGAGAGAACCCACTGTTCTGTCAATAATAAACATACAATATTCATCACAGATCTAGACTCATTAAAATGTGCGGAAATTGTGATACTGTCTCCCTACATTGGATTTTCAACTAGGGATGTACTTCCTATTTCCGTTTATCAATACACTCCTATGACCTTAACAAAAGCTCTTATTACTTATATAAACTGAGACATCCTGGTGCAGTGGATAACACGTCGGCTTATCAGCATAAATGTGACTGTATCTAGTTGGTTAGCGGTTCGAAATCAGATGTTATTGCAAGGCGTTGTCCCGTTCAAGAAAACAGTTCCCTTATTGCCGATTCAAGTACTTTGAACGGAGTTTATGATATGAACGAAGAAATCTACTGAGTAGTACTGAGTAAATTGCCATTATGAATGTTTTATGAATGTTCCAGGAATTTTTCTCTTCGTCGAATATTGTAATACTGCAGTTTCAGACACGTTTGTTCGATTGTTATTTCGAGTATGCGTCAAGTTAGTACTCGTCCATGATTTACATTAGATCTCCCATTATATTTTTGTGTGAGCACCAGAATATATGCTACGGACTGCCACACTTGTTGTTGATCCTTTGATACCTGAGCTCTTGGCGAACGCCCCTCAGAATGAGGTTCGGGTCCACCCAGTTTGGTCCTGCTACAGTAATAAAGAACGGGCATTTGTTGAAAACATAGTATTACTTTTAAAATCATTTCGCATAGAGAGATATTAATGAAACTATTTCAGTTTATAAACATAAACATAACAAAACAAATGTAAATGCAGCGATAGCGATACATATCTTCATTGCTGTTTAACCCGTTTTTATTTATTAAAATCCGTACTGATCATTTACATTCAGCAAAACAACTTATTCAAAAATCCTGAAATAATTGTAAACATTTAAAACCTATTCCTATATTCAAAGTAAACGGTTTCATTACTTTGCTTTATAGCTGCCGAACGATAGACGAGACGATGCACACTTGGGTACACACAACAAAGATATCATTATATAGAGGATGAAGTAAACAAATATTTCATTTTGCCCTTGTTAAAATGCCCTATTTTATCTAAGGAACAAATGACATTGTTTCGCAGCTGCAAAGCTTTTTCAAATTTACACCAACTACAATTGTCTGGGGTTTTTTTGTTTTGTTTTTTATTAGTGTACAATATTAATTTGTATGCATGTCCACAGGACTGATGCGAAGGGACGACAGTTTTAATGTTGTTTTTGTTAAAACGAGTCTCGGGAATTAGGCGATGAATTCAATTTTTCTTTGCATCAAATTTTGAAAAGAATTGTTGGTCATTTGGCTTAACAGATTTGGACTTCAGCCCAAAACTGATGGTCTGGGTTTTGTCCTGGCAAATTTTTGAATAGCTGAAAATATATAACTCGAATACTGCACAAAATCTACATTGATGCATTTTGAAATAAAGATAAACGTGATTGCAGCGACACCCTCTGGAAAAGTCGGAAAGGACAGAAAGGTGGGGCCCGTTAGTGGAAAAGCCGGAAGGGACAGAAAGGTGGGGCCCGTCAGTGGAAACAGTGGGGAAGAATTTGTTTTCTCCTTTTGTACCAATGAGGGGATTTTAACCAGAATTGTTCTAGAGCATCTTTGAGAAAAAGGGAATCAATTTTGTATAAAGAGTTTAACGAGTATGTGCCCCCCTCCCCCCCACCCCCCCCACACACACACACACCCACACCCACACCTTTGTGCCAGAGGGGGAAGAGGTTGAATAGGGTAATAAAGAGAAATCTTTTTAAAACATTCTCTTTTTGTGTGAATAGAGGGATAATCACCAAATTTGTCACTTGACATCTATAGGCAAAAGGACTACATTTTGTATGAATAGACGGTGTGGCCCCATTAAGGCAGAGGGATGGGCTCAATAGCAGAAATAGAGGTTAATATCTAAATTCCTTCTACTTCAAAGTGATTTGAACAAAATCTGGTCTGGAACATCCTTTAGCAAGTGGAACGCATGTTTATATGAACAGTACAAGTGCGTGTGGCTCCCCAGGCAGAGGGGTATAGCATAATGGACGAAATAAAGGGAAATCAATAAAATCCTTCGTCTATTCATTTAGGGGATTTATCCGTACCCAATAACCAAATATCTTCGCTCCAGACCAACCCCTTGAGACGTAACCTTCTAAACCTTCCTTGGACATAGCATGGTAGCTCATGTACTCGGTGTTTCATTCATCTAAACATATTTACATGTAGTTCTACTTGCAACTTGCTCTTCTTGTATTCCTTTGATAACATTGATTGGCATTTTGCAGGTTTTAAATTGAAATTGAAATGCCGGGTGAGCTATAAAGGTCCCTTTTTATAAAATGAAATCTGCCGCATTGATTGTTCAACAAGCAAATACGTGATTGATATCATTAAAGTGAATTCTGATTCTCGTAAAATATGTGATTTAATATATTTTTGTGTGTTATACAAGTCTTTTTCATCTGTGTTTTTTTTTACGAGGATGTGTCGATTTTCAAATCAATACTTGTACACAGACAGTCTGTGTGGAGGTAAACTGGTGTTTACAGTCTGTGTGGAGGTAAACTGGTGTTTTAAGTGTGTGTGGAGGTGAACTGGTGTTTACAGGCTGTGTGGAGGTAAATGGGGTTTACAGGCTGGGGGGAGGTAAACTGGTGTTGACAGTCTGTGTGGAGCTAAACTGGTGTTTACAATCTGTGTGGAGGTAAATGGTGTTTACAGTCTGCGTGGAGGTAAATGGTGTTTACAGTCTGTGAGGAGGTAAACTGGTGTTTACAGTGTGTGTGGAGGTAAACTGGTGTTTTCAGTGTGTGTGGAGGTAAACTGGTGTTTACAGTCTGTGTGGAGGTAAACTGGTGTTTACAGTTTGTGTGGAGGTAAACTGGTGTTTACAGTCTGTGTGGAGTAAACTGGTGTTTACAGTCTGTGTGGAGGTAAACTGGTGTTTACAGTCTGTGTGGAGGTAAACTTGTGTTTACAGTCTGTGTGAAGGTAAACTGGTGTTTACAGTCTGTGTGGAGGTAAACTGGTGTTTAATGGAGTTACCTACAAAAAGTGCTCATCTAGCGAATGCGTGGTTTGCATACCCGACTTCAGAAAAAAAAACAAAGTGCTGAGTTGACATGGAAGGGTTATAAAAAAAACGCGACAGAGCGAGGTTCTGCAGTCTAGTTAGCGACTTTGCCATATATTATATCAGCCTTTGTTAACATGATGCTTGAAGCTGTTATCATTGCCTGCGTGTCCTGGCTGTTTCGGACTCTAAACCGGCTAAGGCTGTGCG